AGCTGTACTTTATCAGATGCCTTCTTAAAGTTCAGATATACTACATCTAAAAGAGCCCCATTATCCATTTTGGTTGTTACATCTTTGAACAACCGTAGCAAATTAGTCCAACATGATTTACCTTCATAAAACCATGCTGACTCTGCTGGATTGCAGCTTGACTTTCCAAATGTCCCAATACAACTTCAATAATTAGGGATTCCAACAATTTCCCAACAACAGAAGTTGAACTAACTGGTATAGAGTTTCCTACTTTCTGTTCCCTCTTTTTGAATAAGGGCATTACATTAGCATTTTTCCAAACCACCAGAATCTTTCCAGAATCCAGAGAATTTTGCATCCATCATCACTGCTGCCACTTCCTTTAAAACACCAGGATGTAGGCCATCAGGCCCTGGGACTTATCTGCCTTTAATCCCAATAGTTTGCTTAGTATCTTTTCCCTAGTGATAGCAATTGCTTTTTTTTAAAAAACGTCCTCCTTTTCTATAATCGCTGCAAAACCTGTTACTATTGGGATGGAAAAACAATGGTTTACCCTTCAATTTTTAATGTAGTGCATTATAACAAGTACTAACCACAAAGCAGAAGAAAAAGCTGATTTTTGCTACTTGTGATACTGTTAATTTGCCAACAGATTTGAGCACTGCTTCATGGTCCTTTGCTGCTGGATAGGACATCCGAGAGAGTTTTGCTTCAAATGCATGATGAGCAGGAAGTTGCCGTACCTCCATTATGTTACTGAATCTAACGCGTGTTTTTTTTAAAGCTAAAAAGAAGGGTAATTTTAAATAAAATCTTTAGACAAACAAAGTTACATCAGCCTAAACAGGAGGTTGCAAAACATTTTGGGTAAACATGGTCAGAAAGGTCATACACAATCAAAATTATTACAGTTCTGCAATGATTATATTAGTATTGCTAGCTTGCCATTGATGATCAAAGCAGGTAGAAATAGTCTGTTGATCCTGTGTTGCTATGATGTTAAGAACCTTTCTTTTTTAGGCAAGGTAATTATTAATTACTGCCTTACTATGTATCTTGTGACAAGTATGTTAAAATAAAACAACAGTTCCTACTTAAAAATAATCTAATTTCAAGTAACAACAGTGATTAAGTTAGCTACAAATTCACTTAGCATTTAGAACAGACATTGAACTGATACAACAACTATGGACAGATAAACATTGGCTTCTCAATGCAAAATGCATTAAGTTGTTTAGGGTACCTCTAAAAATGTCATGATGACATAATGTTTACTTGAAAGAAAGCAGAAACACCGAAGTATGTTCAAAACATTAATCACCATCTGATTAAAGACCTGAAGATCTATTTCTTTTTGCCAGATGGAGATTATGTAGGTGTTACTGCTCCACTAAAAGGCACCTTTTTATATTGAGATTATGTATACTTATTATGATGAAAATTGCCACAAAACATGAAAAGTCAGAATAATAAAGATCTTCAAGGAGGTGAATTAACTCATTGAGTCCACATCTGTCGCTGTCTGACAGCCCTATGTTGTCTAAACACAAAGGTTATCATCACAGATCCTTTAGCCAAGTTAAAACAAAACTCATACTGCACAAATTTTTGAAAATCATTTGTCAAAAGATGTAGTGTATTTTAGACAGAACACTCAAGTCTAATTGGTCCAAGGGCACACAACATAGACTGTTTCTAACATATTAGCAATTTCAAGAGGCTCCATGAGGAAAATAAAGATTTTCCTATTATAACAATTTAATTTTTAGATAATATTATTGTTATCCAGATGTGAATAAATTGCAATGCCAAAATATTTAGTCTACCTGTTGGTAACATGCAACTCTGTAACTTAATTCCATGAAGTAACCAAGTCAGCAAATAGGTCAAGGTTACGGGAGCTCTTGGTTAATATTGCAAATGTATTTTAAAAATTGTGGCAGGCTCTTAGATCTCAACTGAAAACAACAAATGCTGGAGATCACAGCAGGTCAGACATGGAGAGAAAGCAAGCTAACATTTCGAGTCTAGATGGCTCTGATGAACAGTCATCTAAACTTGAAACATTAGCTTGCTCTCTCTCCACTCATGCTATCTGACCCGCTGTGATCGCCAGCATTTGTTGTTTTCGGTACAGATTCCAGCATCTGCAGTAATTTGCTCTTAGACCTCAATATTTAGATAATCAAGAAGCATGGACATTGTACAAAACAGATAGCTCAGCAAAGCAATGCCCTTCTGGATTTTTGTTCTGCTTAGAGCAATAAGGAGAACACTAAACCAAAATGCTACCATCTCAGCAGCTCAAGACTGATTGTGGTTTTATCAATATCTTTTTGGCAAAACCATCTCTGGAAGCATTGATGGAGATTTTGTTGTTGCTGAGAGTTTGTGCAAAAGTACAATTTAAGAATAATTCTTAACATCCAATCATCTGAAGATTATACAAGAGTAAGTTAATTCATTGGGTACAGACATAACACCTTTAAAGTCATAAAATGTTCAAAGACATTTCAAAGAAGGGAAATCTAACAAAAACTGACACTTAATTAAACATGGAGATATTAAAATTGGTGACTAAAAACTTAGTGAAATGAAACATTTTAATGAGGACCACACAAAGGCTCAGGGAAACAATTTCAGATATTGTGTCCAAATGGTTGAAGATAAAACCAGATGGGTATGTGCAAGAAGCTAGAGTTAGAGAAACTGAATTTCTGAAGGTTTGCAGGCTAATAAAGTGCTATAGAAATAGGGAGGGCAAAACAATGGATGGAGTCAAAGAGGAAGATGAGAATTTTCAAACTGGTTGACTGTGATTTAATGTATGTCAGAGTGTATTGGAATCTTGAGTAAATGGGACTGGGAAAAACCTTCAACAAGATAATCTAGTCCTTATATTGGCCTGAATTTCACAATGTAAATTAGGTACTTCAAGTTCAAACCTACCTGTGTTGTTGTCATTACTATTTTTTTCATTGGCTGAATCATGAAATTTTACTGGGATATACAGTGGTTCACTCTGTAAAATACATTAGAAGTTCATTTCTAGTGACAAGATAAACAACATAACAGTAAATAACAATAATAGTTTTACAAATGGATCTGCAAACATTATTTTAAAGCAAAATAATGCAGATGAAATAAAAGCAGAAATGCTATAATACCCATCACATTTGGCATAATCTTTTGATAGTGGCTAGAGTAAGGTTCAATGGCTTTTCATAAAATTAATTAGATTATTCTTTCTTCAGCAATGAGTTTTAAAGAAAATATTGTTGCACAGTTTCTCATTTCTTTTTCATATTAAGAATTAGGGGTAGAGTTTTTATTTTGTGTGTCATCAGCAGTCTGGGTAAAAATTCTACTGGATCTAGGAAATGAACATGCAGTTCACGTACTGGCTCAAAATCCCGTGCTTAACCACACAGGCAAAAATCTTCCAGAAACTAGTGCAATTAGGTAATGTAATAGGATGTAATATTGTTTTTCTTTCTACACTGATGAAATTAAGTGGTTCAAGGCAGCAGCTCACCACCGCATTCTGAAGGGCAATAAATGCCAGCCCATCCAGCGATGTCCACGTTCTATGAAGAAATGCTAAACAAAAATCACTGAAAATTTGACCCATTTCAGTAAGCAACTAGGCTCTAAACTGGAATACACAAAATATGTAAAGAAGTGTGTGCATATGCTCCTGCTACCAAAGAAAACTGCCAAACTCTCATCTGAACTAAACTTTTGACATATGAATTGACATTATAAATGGAAGCTTGTGTACAACACTGAATGCTTACCAAAGAATCATTTATACTAGTGTCTGTAGTACAAGTGGCAAGGTAGTTTTCAGCATCTGCAAACTTAAAATATTGAAAAATTTAATAAGGAAGCACCAGGAAACAATATTGATAAAGCACCTCTACTAATATGGATACCAGAAAATTACACTTTCTTGTATAAGCATAATTCAGATAACACATTTACTGGAAGTTACAAATTATACAAGCTTAGACATTTAAAATCAGAAATCACACGACACCAGGTTATAGCCCAACAGGTTTATTTGAAAACACAAGCTTTTGGACCCTCAGTCCTTCTTTAGGTGTTAGTGAGATGTTGGACTATAACCTGGTGTCGCGTGATTTCTGTCCTTGTCAACTCCACACCGGCACCTCCACATTATTTAGACATTCAAACAAAATAAATCTGTTGTAGAGTACACTGAAAATATATAATACCATAATGCAAGTAAATTATTATTTACAGCTCTGTATACAAAGTCAGTTGCACTTGATTTTTCCCATACTTAGGAGGACTACTTACCAATGCACCATGTCTTCCATTGGTACACTGTTCCCGCCAGGGCTTCCAAACAAGGAATCCAATGAGGTAAAGTACAAACATAGATGTTTTGGCAAACGTACTAAAGAAGGGTTTCTCATATTTTTTAAACATATACTGGAAAGAAGAAAAGAATCAAAACTTACTAACGCAGTAAGTAATGCAAGTAATGCAATAAGCAACAAAAATCATATCTTTCTTAAGCCACTATTCATAGATGCTAGCAAAGGTGTCGGATATTTATCGCGTTTCGGCTTTTACTTCATCTGCAGTAGTTTGCTTTGATATCGTGTCTGCCGACCATTTGTAAAACTATCATTATTATATACTGTCATATAATTTATCTTGTCACGAGAGATGAATTTCTCATTTATTTTGCAGAGTGAATGCACTGTATATCCCAGTAAAATTTCATGATTCAGCCAATGAAGAAAACAGTAATGACAGTAACACAGGTGGGTTTTGATTGGAGATCACTTCAACCATTTTATCTGTCACCCAAACCCTTGATTCCCATTTCTCCCAATTGCACACTATATAAAAATGCAGACTTTTTAAAGCAACAAACTACATCGTGCATATTCAATAATCTATAAACACTTTATCCCAATCCATTTCAATATCACAATACAATATTTGTAATATGTGATTGCCATAATCATATGCTGATCTGCTTATTATGGCATAGCTATAATCCTAAGCTTATAGTATCATAACTTGAATATAAAATCAGTTATCTTCCTCATACTGATTTATTAAAGCATAGATGTAATGGAAAAAATGTAATCATTGTGAAGGGAAAAATAATATTAGGACATTATAGAGCATTTCTAAAATTGTGAAAAATCTTAATAGCATGGAAAAACTTACAGCTTTTCAAAACAAGGTTGCATAAATTCAAGATGGCCACTAATAGATCAAAAATATTTCTGAAGAATTTCTGTGCATTGAGCCATTAGATCATGGAAGGCACAGCCATAAGGAATGATTGTAGAAAATGTACCTGTTCATCATTCAGGGAGCTTCAAGTCTAGCTACCCTAATCTTTCCCCTTTTTAAGGACTCTACTTTGACTGCATTGGAGTTATCTCCTCTTTAAAGACAGTTGATTATTATTTCTCCCGACATTCTTTGATGTAAGGTCCATTCTCAACACAATGAAATTGCTCCTTCCACAATTTTTTTTTAAACTCTAGAGTGCTTCTTGTCCTCCTCCCAAACTAATCTAAATTTTATAACACTAAAATCACGGTTGGAAGAGATCCCCTCCTGGTACTTCACCTAACTCATTCCGAAAACTTGTCTAGCAATGCCTCCTTCCCTGTTGTGCTGTAAATACACTAATGAAGAAAATGCTCTTCAACGCACTTTAGATTCTGATCCTTCTATGCCTCTGACAATTTTCGCCTTCCAATCAATATTAGGATCATAGCTTAGTTTAATTAAAATCAAAATGAAACAAGTATTCAAAATCATGAAACCATTTGTCCTTCAAACTAACATGGTAAAATAATATGCCAAAATTATTTGGTAATCCAGCGGCAATGCATCAGTATTTCTTAGTTACAATATTGAACTTCTGCAGGTATTTTAACAGCTTCCAGTTTCTTAGCATTAACCATATTCTTTTCAACATAGGTATTCAACTCGGTATCTCCATCCACCACTTGGGCAGTCTCAGGGCTCTCTATTTGTTCCTTGAACAGAAGTCCCACTGGTACATTTCTCATGTGGATGAAATAACTTTCACGCTGAAAAAACTCATTTAACACCCGTTACTTCATCCAAAAGAATGGTTACAGGAGCCCATGTAGGTTTTAGCTGTGGCTGCTTTTTGTGGAATATATGGATAGGTTTTTATTTCAATTCTACTAAAGTTTACTTCCTCACTTCTTTTTCTGGTACATTTGAGTGTATTGGTGCTATTTACTGCTCTTGCTGAGTTAAAACATTTCATCAACTACATTTTGGATTGCCAACTTTTTGTTCACCTACACATGGAACCATCTCTGATCCTTCCCGTGCTCAGCTTCCCTGTCTCAATTGCTTTGAATAAATCGACTGAATCCTAAAGCTGCCTTGATGACACATCCTTGCACCTTGCTTTGTAAAAAGACTCTATTCCATTATTCCAGTTTTTTTCAATATAAATGCCATTGTGCCTGATGATGCTGCATATCATGCCAGCACTTTTGACATGCTATGCTTTTTCCTCAACTGGGAACTCTTCTAACAATCCTTGACAAGACCGTATCCATTCATTTCCTGCACTTCTGCTCACCTTCCCCCTAGAAACACAGGAATGTTTCCCCTTGCCCTCACTTTGCACATTACCAGCCTCCTCATCCAAAGCATAATCTCCACTACCTCCGGCCTGGTTCCATTGCCGAACACATCTTCCCTTCACCCTAATATTCCAAAGGGACAGTTCCTTTGTGACATCTAGTCCACTCCTCTATCAGTCAATCATCTTATGACTGCACCTTCCCATCCAAATGCAGGAGACATTATACCTGCCCTTTTACACACTCCTGCCTCACTGTCTAAGACCCCAAATGCTGGTTCCAATTTCTTTCAATATTGTAAACTATCTTCATTGCTCATGAAGTGATATTCTCTTGGGTGCTTGCTTTGTAGAACACCTCCCTTCAGTTTGTCAGCATGATCCCAAGCTTGCAGTTGCTTGTCTTTTTTCAGTCTCCACTAGCTCAAAGAACGGAACCTCATTTCCCTATTAGTCGTTTTACAGCTTTCTGGACTTAAGCTTGCATTCAATAATTTCAGATCATAGCTTCTAACAACTTATTTTTTTCTTCTTTTTAGTTAACACCTACTGCTAATGATTCTTTATTTTTATACTTTTCCACTCAGACGGAGGTAAATCCATCCGACTCAGCCTTTGTTTCTTGTTACATTAGCATCAACTTCTGCCTTACATTTACATCTGTTGCCATTTGACATCACCTGTATTCCTCCGTAAAATTTCCTTTTGTGTTGAGGATTCATCTGGAGATAATTCTTACAGTTTATATTCAGAACTGTATGCATATTTCTTTATTTAATCAACCTGTTCAGACATGTTACGACACCTCCAGGCAGGTGGGTCTGGCCTAGTGACAGGGACATTATCACTAAGCCACAAGACCCTTCCAAGTTCACAGTTTCCAAAAGACAAACAGATTATTTTTATTTCTCACTCAGGGCAAAACTAGAGGGGAAAGATATAAAAGGGAGGTAAAGGGCAACTTTTTTCACATGGAGGGTGGTACGGGTATGGAATTTGCTGCCAGTGGAAGTGGTGGAGGTGGAGGCAAGGCTGGTACGATTACAACATTTAAAAGGCATCTGAATGGGTATATGAATAGGAAGGGTTTAGAGGCATCTGGGCCAAATGCTGGTAAATAGCCTAGATTTATATAGGAGATAGTAGGAACTGCAGATGCTGGAGAATCCGAGACAACAAGGTGTAGGGCTGGATGAACACATCAGGCCAAGCAGCATCATAGGAGCAGAGAGGCTGACGTTTCGGGCCGAGACCCTTCATCAGAT